GTGAGAGGAGAGGGAGAGGGAGAGGGTAGAGGGAAAGCGAGGAGATGGGACGAGCGAGGGAGCGAGGATTGAAGATAGACAGACGGAGAGATAGATTATAGATGAGCGATGGATAGATAGATCGATCGATCGACATGTAGTAGTAGATGACTAGTAGATAGATAGATAGGATAGCATAGATAGTATACTTAGATAGATAGTAGGATAGATGATAGGTAGATGTTAATAGTAGTAGATACATACATACATACCTATTACATACATACTACTCATACATAACTACATACTACATACTAATCATACATACATACTTTCAGTTACTACATACATACTACAATACATATACATACTACATCATCATACATACTACATTACTACATTACATACATACATACATTACTATATTACTACATAATAACATCATACTCTATAAATAGCATAATCTACGATACATATATCTACATACATTACTTACATACATACTACATACTACATACATTCATAATACTACATACATACCATACTACTACTACATACTACTTACATTATATCATCATACATACATACATCTCTACCTCATAATACATACTACTTACATAAGACTAATGCATAATACATACATACATAACATCATACATACTACATACTACATACTCATCTAATCATACATCATACATCATACACTACATTAATCATACTACATATTGACTCCATATATATACTACATACATACATACTACTCTACATAATACAATACTACATTACTACTACATATACATACTCTACATATTACTACATACATCATATACATCATACTACATACATATTAATAATTACATACTACATACCTACTACATCATACATCTACATACATTTACATACATACATACATACATACATATCTACTACTCATACATACTACATACATACATTACATCTACATACTACATAATATAATACATATATCTCTTAAATACATACTACATAATACTACATATACATACATACATACATACATACATACATACAGAGAGCGCGCGAGCGAGCTAGAGAGAGAGAGAGGGAGCGAGAAAGAGAGACGGAAATACGCTAGCATAGAGAGGAGGATTGCCTCTGCGCTAAGTTTAGTGCGCACGTCATCTCGACAGCTCTACGCAAACTCATGCACGCGCGCGCGCGCACACATAGCCCGCCGCCCGCCCGCCCTACAAATCAAATGACGTGAGCGCGATCGGAGCAACGATTATTTTGCTCAAACACAGCGCGGCTATCGCACGGTGCACGGGCACTCTCTCTCTCTCACGCACACACACACGCACACGCTCTCTCTCTCTCTCTATACGTGGTCTGTCCAGCGCAATAGTGAGCCAGTAATAGTGAGAGCACATCAGTCATAACTCACGCGCTGTGTGAGGCGGCGGATTTACTGAACGATGGTGAGGTCAGATGACTTGTGTTTGTGTTAGTGCAGCGACACTGAGTGCACGAGAGAGAGAGAGAGACCCAGTTGTCATCTGTTTTGCAATCATGGAACGTCGATGGTGAATCACAGCGTACGCTACTCACAGCGTTCGTGTTACCGTGTGCAGATATGGACCCGCGGGTGAGTACGGTGGTCACTCGAGAACCGTTCTCCAACGACGACGGTGATATATTCTTCGAGGACGACATCAGTGAGTATGTCCTTATTGGTGACAATGTCAGCGAGAGTGTCTTCATTGGCGACAACATCAGCGAAGGTGTTTTCACTAGCGACAATGTCAGCGAGGGTGTCTTATTTAACGACAACGTCAGCAACGGTGTCTTCTTTAACGACAACGTCAGCAACGGTGTCCTTATTGGCGACAACGTCAGCGGCCGTGTCCTCTTCAACGGCGTCGCGTGGCCGGCCGACAACGCGACGTCACGATCGAGTCACGTGATGGCGAGCTTCGCGATCGGACTCACTCTATCGCTGATCATCTTCTTCGCCATCGCCGGTAACCTTCTCGTCTGCGTGGCCGTCTACAGCGACCGTCACCTGCGCAAACGCGGCAACCTTTTCATCGTGTCTCTCGCTCTCGCCGACCTTCTCGTGGCGACGTTGGTGATGCCGTTCGCGCTCACTAACGACCTGCTCGGCTACTGGATATTCAAAATCGGCTTCTGCAACGTATGGGTGTCGTTCGACGTCATGTGTTCGACGGCGTCCATCTTGAATCTTTGCGCCATCAGCATCGATCGGTACATCCACATCCGCAACCCGCTGCGATATTACGTCAAGATGAAGTTGAGGACGGTCCTGTTGACGATCGGAGGCATCTGGCTGGGTTCTATACTGATCTCCTTCATACCGATTAGTCTCAACTGGCACATGTCGTTCGTCGTGCCAGCCGACGAAAACGCGACGACGACGGTCGCTGCTGCCGACGACGCGCCGCCGACGTGTGCCTTGGAAATGAATCCGACTTATGCGATCGTGTCGTCGTTGATCAGTTTCTACCTTCCGTGTATCGTCATGGTGTGGCTGTACGCGCGTCTGTACAAATACGCGCGCAAGCACGTGAAGACGATCAAGGCGCTGTCGGTCGCGCCGCCGACGTCGCTTTCCGCTGCCGACGACTGCACGAGAAAACTGACGAATTCTTCTCTGAACAGCAGCAGTCAGGGCACGCGCGAGCACAAGGCAGCGATCACAGTCGGCGTCATCATGGGCGTGTTCCTGCTCTGCTGGATGCCTTTCTTCTGCATCAACATCGTCGTTGCCTGTTGCGAGGAGTGCGTGCCGAAGACGCTCTGGCTCTTTCTCACCTGGCTCGGCTACTTCAACAGCAGCATGAACCCGATCATCTATTCGATCTTCAACACCGAGTTTCGCGAGGCGTTCAAGCGGCTTCTCTGCATTGATAAATGCGCGGGGCTGGTGAATAGGTCGTCGACACACGTCGGCAGCATGATCACCGACGCGACGATACACTACAGTCCATCGGAGGCGAGTCGGTTTCTCTATCAGGACGAGAATGGACGGAAGCAATCATCTTCGACGATTCTGAACACGATCGAAATTACAACGACGATGTAACGTCATATACGCACGACGAGTGTAATGTGCTAAATGATGCTAATCGATATGATATTATTATACACGCGTGGACGGCGGGGGAGGATGGCGCATGATGAAAAAAAATCATAGTGGGAAACGATTTGGTCCTCCGTGTGGATGATGGGCTGTGTACATGCGGCTGGGAGCGCGAGTGTGCATGAGCCATAGCGCGACAACAGATGGCGGGTCCCAACGAACACGCACAGACATCCGAATCATTTGCACGATCTTATCGCGTATGAGTGAGTGGTATACATATGATATGAGGTGAGGTTGGATATATATATATATATATATATTCATATATATGTATATATATATTCATATATATGTATATATATGTATACATATATATAAATGTATATATATATATATACGCGTGCACGATCAGTATTAAGAAGTTTATCACCGTTATATCCGTTATATTCGTTATATCGTTATATCCGTTGCTCAAAGATGAAAGTGTAACGATGTTCTGTTTTACACGCCATGGATAATCGGCGAGTTTGCTTGTACGCAAATCGACGTTTGGAACGTTTTTAAGAGAAGGGCGAGAAGTGAGAAGTTTCCGCTGTACTGTCATTCCTTCGCCTCGCACTAATCAGATCTCAAAAAACCGCGTGACGCACGAAAGCTACTATATAGACAGCCGATCGACGGACGGCTGGATATTTTCGATCGATAACAGGATCGCTGAAGAGATGTAATATCAAAGCGATTGTTCCATTATTCATGTATTACGCGCGGCCGGCGGGCGCGAGCACAAGCGTATCTCTCGCGATTTCTTCATATGTATATACAAATAATAAACCCGATAATGATTATCGTAATCATCGCTCTGCGTGTTTCTCGATCTAAGTACGTGTCAACTATCACTCGCCGCTTCGTCAGTCCAGCAGCGAAGAAACTCCAGGACATTTATACAGTCTTCTATACAAATCCGATCGACATACGATGAAGCTATTTTAAAAAAAGCGAGCAAATGTTTAACAGCGTGCTATTGATGATTAAAGTCCATCTTGTTTTAATCAGATGGTTCCTGCAGCGACGACGGCTGTGTGGTAAGAGAGCGAGCAAGCTGAGGATAACAACATATCGCAATCACTTGCGATTGTGATGCAAATCGTCAGCGTTATGTCTGCGATACATCTTAAACGCTCGCTAAAAACTCGTCGACAACAAACGATATAAATTTAGCGACATGCGTCGGCAACATGTCGGCAAGTTCCATGCGTCGCGGCGAGTTCTAACCGCGCGAATTTGACCTATATAGGATATTATCGCTAACTTCTGCGAACTGTAAAAGTTTGTCTGATGCTTACAGTGTTGTGTATGGAGTTGGTCGGCGACGTGGCGGATGATATTTTTCACAGGCGTGTGTTTTGTTGCGTAATTACTTGACAGCTATAGACGTCAGACGCCGACGTCTTGTAAATAAGGTGCTAGAAAAAACTAACCGAGCTATTCATTGAGCAGTAAAACAAATTAGTGTCAGGAAACGCGAAAAATGACAAGTAGGGGGCAGGGTCATGCAGAGGAAGAGAGAAATAGAGAGACAGAAAAAGAGAGAGAGAGAGGCCGACAGAGAAATAGAGAGAGGAGAGAGAGAGAAAGAGAGTGGGCGAGAGAGAGCGCGTGGGAGAGAGAAAAGGTAAAGCGAGAAAGTGATTAACAATAGAGCCAAGCAAAAGAAAAAGCGAAAACAAGATAAGAAAAAGAAGCGGAAGGAGAAGTAACGAGCGAAATAGTGAGAGAGGGATGAAGCTAAGAAAGAATAACGCGATTTGTGGCTAGGAAGAGATATATTGCCACCGAGAAAAGGACACCGAGTAAGTGAGACAGCGAAAAAGAGAGAGGGGAGAGGTGGAGAAAAGGGGAGAGAGGGAGTATAAAGAGCGAGCGGGAGCTAAATAGATAGATAGACAGACAGAGAGAGAGAAAGAGAAAGAGAGAGAGAGAAAGAGAGAAAGAAAGAGAGAGAGAGGGAGAGAGAGAGAGGAAGAAAGCGAGAGAGAGAGAGAGAGAGAGAGACCCAGTTGTCATCTGTTTTCACCACCACCACCACCACCACCATCAGCAGCAGCAGCAGCAGCAGCAGCGTCAGCAATTATGGAGATCGATCACAATATACGTGAGCACACGCGCTCATTGCTATGGCTCTCGCGTCACCGCGGGACGTAAGAGTAATTGCTCGTCATCTTCTAAAGGCAGCGACACAAGACGTCGTGTTGTCGTGGCTGCAGCCCGCGCGCACCGGCCAGTAATTAAATACTCTCAAGGGCGGACCCTGATGAGATGGTGACAGCTATTACTAACATGACGTCATCGCCGGGTGGACACTGCGCAGGCAGCACTTCGGCAAACCTCGGATAAAGTCGGGTATGTTCGCTCGGCGAGCACGTCCCAGGATTTTGTGGGATCCACGGGAATTTGACGGTGTTATCAAAACTGTGTAATGTTCGAACTTGGGGGCCGTTGTCAGAAGCATCGTAAAGTTAATGCTAAGATAATGTTAATGATAATGTTAATGCTAAGATAACACTTACGACTAATGTAAATGTTACGAGAGGAGCGTTGACAGAAACACATCGCGACTATTAGAAAACTTACGATAACAGGAACTTCACAAAATTTAAATTCATGCACATTTATTGTACATCACAGTAATGTATGCATATTATGATGGCTAACCACATATAAATAATATTTGATAAAAAACGACGCGGTCCTAAATTTGTTCTGCACAACAAGAACGTGGCCAGTGGCAAACAACATTAAAACAAGAGAACAAATGCCATACGCCATTTGTAATTGTATTGTTTTGTTTTATGATCGGTAGATAATTAATGTTTTTGACGTGTTTTTAAAGAAAAACACACACTTTACTCATTTTTATAAAATATAATATCACTATATAATTGTAATTCGTAGTGTAAATGTGTTATTTGCATCTTAATATTAAAGTTACGAGAGGGTTTGGGCTCTCGTAATGTTAAAAGGATATTTTCGAGGATCTTTCGTTCTCGTAACATTACGATGTGTCTATTGACGGTTTACGAGTGGAAGTTAGACTAATGTTAAAGCCTCACAATGCGCATCCAAACGCTAATTTCTACAGTACTAGACTAGCAAATACTTGCGGTGGCATGAATAATCACACTACCTTATGGACAAAATAAACTATAGTGCCTCCGGCATTTAAATGCGCGGTTTGTCTTATAAAAAGGTATTTGAAATATCTCCACTGTGTTCAATTCTCCGATGTTGTTGACACAGTTTGCGTTGCTCTGCCCAGGCAACCGTCCAGCGGGTGTAGAAAACGATTTCTTACGAGCCGTGTGCGTTGTTTTCGCTTGCACGCTGCTAGCCGCAATGCTTCGCGCTGTTAGCCGATATCAAGGCCGTAAAATCAATACGGTTATTTTCACGTTTATTACGCTGCCTATAAATACTTTCTAAATAGTCTTTGATGTTACACATATACAGATGTTACAGTTCACAATACTAAACTATCTTATGCACTGTCGCCACTATGCAAACAGTTTACCCGGGAGCAAACAATTCCTTGGCTCGAACACCCTGTAAGCCAACATGTGACGTCACAAAACCAAGTCCGATGCCTATGTTGTTGAAACAATTTAGCCGTTGGCGCTGCATTACCTGATTTCGCAACCTCTTTCCTTGTTGGGAACGCGCAGTCAAATGGGAGGAACTAGAGTTTATTTTGTCATAAGGTAGTGTGATTATGCATGCCACAAAGTAGTTGCTAGTCTATTACTGGAGAAGTTTTAGCGTTTGGATGCGCATTGTGAGGCTTTAAGACAAATTTTGTTTCTGACAACAGGCCCCTCGTCTTCGAAACTGCACTTATATTTTGACAGACTCATCGCAACTCACGTTTAGAACGAAGAATGATTATTAACTTTACGTTTTTTTTGAAGCTAACTAATAATTATATTGTTTAGTTGCAGCACGGCATGTGCACAGAGTGTTTCGTTGATAGAATTTTGCGTCATGTAGCCGAAGTTATATGGAAGTACGGAAACGACCGAGGTGTGCCGAGCGACTCAGGAGGAATCACGCGTTCGCCATCGTCGTGAAAAAAGACGTTTTCGCTAAACCACGAAGCGACAGTTTAGTACATTTCTACCTCGATCATAATACCTGCACGCGCGCAGCAACAATGGATGTAAAACGATGCAGGTGATATTTAAAAGCTTCCGAATCTAGACGCGTTTTTTCTGTGTGTTTTTTCTTTATTCAGTTCGCGTTAATGGAACGTCAATATAGGCGCGTTCACACTGGCGCGAATTAGCGGGATGCAAATCCCGGCTTTTGCATCGCGATCGAAATACCGAGATTATTACAAGTGTGAACGCACTAATCTCACTAATAATCGCATCGCGCTCCAAATCGCACTTTTGACTGCGATTATTTGGAATTATCGCGATTATTTGCGTGTGTGAACGCTCGCGCAAATAATCCCGGTATTTTAGCGCGATTATTTGCGTGTGTGAACGCTCGCGCAAATAATCCCGGTATTTTCTATCCCATCATTCCAAGCGAGTGAGCAGTGAGCATGCGCAGTGAGCATCATTCCGGCAGTGAGCATGCGCAGTGAGCATCATTCCGGCAGTGAGCATGCGCAGTGAGCATCATTCCGGCAGTGAGCATGCGCAGTTCGATTAATAGAATTATCCCGCTCGGCGATTAGCGAAATATTTCCGCCTGTGTGAACAACGACACAATTATCTCGGTATTTCCATCGCGATTAGCATCGCGGGTTTTCTTGTGTGTGAACAAGCCTAATGATTCATTTCGGATTCGATTGTTTGTTTGTTTGTTTTTCATACGTTGACATCAGACAAAACCGGATTGAAGATTACGAGATTTTCCTCGTACTCTCCAATCCGGGTTTGTCTGATGAACAACGTATGAAAAACAAACAAACAAACAAAATCCGAAATGAAACATTGACG